CGGTTTATGGTGACGAGTAAGTGGGATAAGTGGCTGCTGCGCCCCGTCTCCGTGCTTGCTGCTGTAGGGCCTGTGCGCTCGCTGGAGAGAGAGACAGAGACAGATCTTGGGCACGCTCGCGCACGCGCCCTCGTGAGTGTCGCACCCAGCGTGAGTTTTCAGCTGCTCAGTCCGGGACTCGAACCACGGTAGAACCAGGCTCCACCACGTGGGAGTCCAGCGACATAACCATTATCACTCGCCGGTCCCTGTTGTTTGGACAAGGAAAGCTTAAAATGGAACGTGAGTTTTGTAGTGAGGCTGCTGTTACGTATTCTGAATTTTGTAGACAGCAGGTTCGAGCCTATAAAACCCCCAGGAGAACGCGTTCCCCGCCCACGAAAACCCAAGCAGTTCAGTGCTCTGGTCTGGAATCAGGATGCGCGGGAAATACTCATGCTGCCTGTAGGGACAGGTAGCCACAGGAGCTGTCCTAAGCAAGGCCGGAAGGCGCATTTCTGGCGTTGACACAGACGCCCCTGCCGCAGGTGGCCTGCAGCACCCCAGGAAGCCTGGGCTAGGGCGTGAGTTCCCTCGGGGGCTCTGCTGGGTGTTTGTGCTCTGACACGGGACCCTGTAGTCCTTCAGGCCAAGGGGGTTATGGGTTCTAGCACCTGTTTAGGATCTTTATGTTTTGTAAAAAGGAGGAGTGCAACACGGAGTGGTTCTCACCTTTCCCTCCTTCCCACCTCAGTCCCTTCAAACCACTCGCATGCTATTTGACTAAGTTAAACAAAACTCCGAAGAATTGTTGAAAGTAGGGTTAGGCGTTTTCCTTTTATAAACTCTTCGTGCATCTGGCTTATCAGTGGTGTGATCCCAGATTTCTTTAAGCAACGGGCACGTGCACTTACCTGGGAGGGAGAGTGAGAGGTCACTGCCAAGGTCTGGCCACGCCGCAGCCCCTCCGTTACCGTGGGATTTGGGGCATGCGTGCACACGTGCCCAGTGTGATGACGAGTCCAGCACCTTACCCACTGCCACCCGCTGGCCCCAGGCCAACCTGGATCCACACCACAGTTACCATACGGCTTCCAGCGCGGCAAAGTGCCGGCCTTACCACCGCACCACAGGGGCTGCGTGTTCTCTGCTAGGTCCAGCAGCCAGGGCTTAGGGAGGTTAAATGGCGGCCCGGATTTGTAAAGCAGGTGACTGGTAGAACCGAGGCGGAGCCCAGATCTGCACCCAAAACTTTCTCTTTTTCTTTTTCCCTTCTTCACAGATGTGCTCCCCAGTTCAGTCAGGGCCACCACAGAGACAGGACGCACGGGTTTGTGTCCCTCCCGTGTCCTCATGCAGTTCATCAGAATAGCAGACCACTCAAAATCCATCTGTGGACGCAGCCGAAGTGCTTTCCGTCTCCCGATACCATGTTCACCCCACGCAGGGATGTATGTAGGAAGTAAAACAAAGGTCATGATGGTCCCAATTTTTGAGTCTGGAGATAAGAAAAGTGGTTATACTTTGATGGGCCCAGCAGATGGTGGAATGGTTACATTGCTGGACTCCCACGCCATCCACAGTGGTTCGAGTCCCAGACCCAGTGGCTTAAACCTCATGCCATGTGTGTGTGCCCAAGATCCCAAGAGGAGGATGGCGGAGAAGGGATTACAGCATGGCCATGCTCCCTGGGGGGCAGTTTCTCACTTTCTGTCCCTCTCTGTCTCTGGTGCGTGCATGTGCCCAAGAGCAAAAATCTCTCTCTAAAAAAAGAAAAGTGATTATACCTTGAACTGATTAGGTTCCCTAACTTCAGTGTGACAGATTTTACTTACATTCAATTTGTGCCTTGGGTCGGGAGTTCATTGTGTCACTGGAGAAGTAAACTCGATACGCATGTTCACATTTGGAACTTGGGGGTGTCGGCCTCCTCTTTGAGAGGGTCTGTATTAGATGATTGCCGTTTAGTTTCTAACAGTATATTTTGACAACTCAAGTGGGAAAAAATGTTCCTGCATCTTGTTTTCTTGCAGATGGTCTTTAATTTGCTTTATTTATATTAACGATTTTTTCCCGATTGCCAGAGGACGCATATACTCTGCAGAGAGAGAGAGAGAGAGAGACCCTTTGATGGAATGTGATCAAGTCACAGTCTCTGCTGTTCCATTTTTCTGTCCTGCCTGGCTTTTAGGCACGCATGCACACACGTGCTCGTACGCTTTTTCAAGTCCCTAGGCTGGGACCTGAACTGTGGGCAGCCATGTGGAATCCAGCTTCCCTTTATGAGTAGATTGTGGGGCCAGCCCTCTTTTCAAAGTTGATAAAATTTCCTATCTTCTCATTAAATTTATTCTACTAGTTTGCTTCAGACCATAGCTTTCATGTGTTCTTTTATCAAATTTTACACTTTATGGTACTTTGGTCTTTATGTTGGTCATGACTGCCCACACAACAGATTTTGAAATCAAGTTTCATTAAACCGCAGGGGTGAAAGGAAGCGATGCAGAAACCAGAGTGCCCGGGAGGCGTCCAGCTGAGACACAGAGCGGCAGGTACAGAGCTTCGCAGCTGCAGTGAAGATGCACAGGGGGCAGCTGGACCTCTTGCACAAGTGGGAGCCGTGCAAGCACTATTGCTTTCACCTCTTTGCTCATGATCTGTTTTTCCAGGTAACTGTGATCAAAGGACCTTATCAAACCCACAGATAAAACACAGAACTGCAGTTCAGCGAAGCACATCCTCATCATCAGCCAGTTCTCCAGAGTCTGCAAGGAAGCTTCATCCTCGGCCGAGTGACAAACTTAATCCTAAAACAATTAACCCGGTGGGTACGGAAGAGTCTGAGCTCAGTAGAGTTTTCAAAGTATCAGCGTGTAGCGCACTACCGAACCATTCTGTGTGCTTTCTGCTGTTTTTCTGCGTCTTACTTTTGACCTTGGACAAAGGAAGGGCCTAGGGTATTCCCGGTATTCACGAGGAGGAACCGAGCTGACGGGGTGTGGGTGGGAAGGCATGTGGGCTGAGGGGGCATAGAGATGAACCAGTGGGTTTATGCTATTGTGTTGTGCATGAGCATTGTAGAGCATAAAGGAAACTGCAAATCAGCTTTATTTTTTATTTACCATGTTCCTAATATCCATAAATACAGTTCACATTTTTTTAAAATTTAGTTGCATAGGAAGATTGGCACCACCAAATGAGGTGACGTAATGTTTCCGTCGTTTGTTTCAGTTTGGGGACCAGTCACGAGCTCCTTCAGCCTTTGCCGCTGTCTACTCTAAAGGAGGCGTCCCCTGCAGGTAAAATCAGTACAATGTACAGAGCCGACCGTATCATTCATAAGAGTTGAGTAAGACCAGTTCCGTATGCAACCTAAGTGTGTCGGAAGTTTTACTTACTAGTTGGATAGATGCAGAGGTGACTTCTCACTGACTGTTGGGTTGGTAGAGATCCCCGGACAGTGTTATAGAAAACCACTTTAATTTCAAAGTCTAGGGGCTGCCAGGTATCGTGGTAGTTAAGGGCACTGGACTCCCACAGGGCTGGCTGCAGTTCGAGTCCCGGATCTGGTGGCTTTCTCACTTCCTTCTCTCTCTCTCACTTTGTCCCTCTCTGCTTGAATTAAAAAATAAATAAGTAAGTGGATAAATAAAGTTACATAAAATAATTCTTTTAAAAAAATTTCAAAGTCTAATTACCAAGATCTATAATAAACCACTGAATACTTTTAAGAAATTGAACAAACCAATTTTGAAACAGCCAACTTAAGCATTCACAGGTCTGGGGAAGTTGTAAATAAAAAAGCTCTCTCTTGTTGGTGAAGTGACAATTTAGTGAAATTATTTATACTTCTTAAGTACATATGGTGCTTTGGGAACCAGCAGTTAGCGTAATGGATATGTCGCTGGACTCCCACGTAGTCTACCGCGATTCGTGTCCTGGACCCAGCGGCTTAAAACCCACGCCGGGCGCATGTGCGTGCCCAAGATCCCGAGAGGAGAAAGGAGGGGAGGGGACGCAGGAGGTACAACGCCGCC